CTCTTAGAACTATTAAAAATAGAATAACTGAAACAAAAAGTCAATGGATGGGGTCAATAGCAGAATGACCCTGAGCTGAGGAAAAATCATAGAACATAAAGATAAAAGAATGGAAATTACACAATCTGATACTACAGAGGAAACAGACTGGGGTGGGGGTCGGGGTGGAGAACAAAGCATCAGGAATCTATGAGACAATAAAAAAATTTCTCATTTATACATTTGGGATCTGTGGTAGTTAGGTTTATTTAGTCAATCTAGCTGGGCCAAGGTTCTCTGTAGTTTGGCAGTTGAAGCCTCCTCCACGATGTGATAGCACATAATGTAAGCACCTCCGTGATGGGATCTGCTGTGAACAGCCAGGCAGTTTTGGAACATGTGGTTGGAGTGCAGCTCCTTCCTCAGGTAATAGCCCCGATGATGTTTCTGCAGTGTGTTGCCTCCTTCATATATTATTACTGTGGGAAGCTTCTTGACTTCTTGCTGGTCTGAATTCTGGATCTGGATCTTAAACCTCTAGTTCTTTGCATGAGCCAATTGCCAGCCATGTTGTCTGCCCCCTGGAAGCCATTAGAGCTTGTCATCTGACCTGCTCACTTTGGATTCATCTGCCTCTGCATCCACCAACCATGGTCTTCTCACCTTCATCTTTCTGTGTCTTGGTTCATCAGTCCCAGCCGATCCACAGATTGGAATCAGATTGGAGTTACTCACTTCTCCAACTGTATGAACCACTGTCGTGTGTGTGTGTGTGTGTGTGTGTGTGTGTGTGTGTGTATCACTGCTTTTATTTCTCTAGAGAACCCAGGATAACACAGGGCCCTAGCAGAAAAACAGAAGGTTTTAAATAAATAGCAGCTGGGAATGTCCCAATATTTCAAAAGACTTGAACTTAGAGAAATTGCAGAAACTGCAAACAAGGTAAAACTCAAAAGAAATGCACACGAAGACCTGTCATAACTAAAACTTGATCTGAATCTATGGGCAAAGAAAATCAGTGTTGAAAGCCATGAGGGAAAAAGAATATCTTTAAATATAACTAAAAACTAATTCAAAGCTTAACAGTTTCCTTATCTGAAACCATCGAGTTCAGAAGAGGCATAATTCAAAGTGCTCAAGGAATTGTCGATCCACAATTCTGTGTCCATTGAAAATATCCTTTAGGAATAAAGGGTAAATCAAGACATTCTGTGATGAAGGATAACTAAGAAAAAATTTCAGTGGGACACCTACTTTTAAAAATTGCCCAAAGGATGTTTTTTAACAAATAAACTGATAAAAAGTAGAATATTATGTGTGTTAAGCAGGGTTCTCTAGAGAAACAAAACCAAGACACTTATGATTACATATATATATATATA